TCATCTTTAAATTTTTTGAATATAATTAGGTGCCTTTAGTACTGCTACGTAGATGCTTGCCCTTACCCCCCGGTGTTATCTCCCCCATTTGCTGTTCGCCCTTGGCTCTGCTTCCATAAAAAAAAAGCGAGTTCTTTTTTTTGCTTTGTTGGTGGTCGTTTGGGTAAAACCTTTTGATCTGTTGCACGGGCGGAGCACAGAGGGGTGCCCCGTTTGCTATGAAGCTGAAACTAGATCCAGACTATTTTTGTCTTTTTGTAATTAATACTGGTTCCGTTCCAGCGGTTTTTCCCTTGATATCATCATATCGATTTTGTCTCTTCTAGTTAGATTTCGCAAATCGTAAAATTTTCATTTGCGTTCGATTTTTTTTCCTTCTTTTGTTTAAAATGGGCGGGGTTTGGGCATTTTGGTAAAAATATTGTACCGAATGTGTTTGATCTTTTTTTTGTCGGCTTACCGTTGTTAAAAAATTTTTTATAAAACATCTGTCGATGATTTCAGTTGTTTTAAATCTGGTTTATTTTAGTCTTTGAAAGTTGGGTTTTAAAAAAAAAGGCAAAAAGGGGCAGTTTTTTCTTTTCTTTTTGGTTTTAGTAAGGGTTGAGAAAAGAGACAAAAGGGAGCGCTGCCACGCATCAGCCCAGCTGGACATTCAGCGCTAGCCCGGTATTTTTAGCGCCAATAACAGACCCTGGGTGATAGTCAACATTACCCGACAGCTTTATTTCTAAACTTCCCGGGAACCAATAAAGGGATGGGCCGCCTTAGAGCCAGGGTCTTTTTAAGGAAAAACAAAAGCCGGCTCCGTGGGAACTGAACCCCGGACCTCGGATCTAAGGCGAGGTTAACCACGGGGGGCCCCCAAGCTTCTTTTTTCTTTTTCTTCTTTTTCTTCGTTTTTGTCTTTTTGGGTTTTCACTGACGTAAATTTGGCGGAAATTTGTTGTTAGTCCATTTCGATTTTTCCCAAAAAACCAAAGTGTTGCGAGCTTCCGTTAAAGATCTGACAAATTTTTATGCAGAGTTGTCCTTGCCTCCATGCAATTGCCCCTTGACTTCAAAGGAAAAGCTCCCATTAGTCGACTTACGACATGCTTTTTAGGTGGAGTTTTTGTTCCCCCCCCCCCTCCCCCCAATGAGGCCGGGAAACCCTACACGGGGAATCTAAGTTTTAAAAAGATGAACGAAATTCAAAGAACACACGTGTAGTCAAGAACTGAGTGTTAACATCAGTGTCTAGTTGATATATTCATCACTAAATGCCCGAAACAGTTACATCTCGTTATTTATGAGGCAACAGTTTACACATGTAGCCATTGAAATAAGTGTAAATTGCTTATGTGTATTTTTTTGGGGTTTAACACAGGGAACGTATATTTTAATGGGTTTAGAGGGGGACGATATCAGCATTTGGTGTTGTGTGTGGTTTAATAATTTTGATAACAATACCAGAAAAAAACCAGGACTTTCTAAATTTTTTTCCCTGTGTGACCTGATTAAAATTTTCAGTATTTGGACAAAACAAAGTAACGACTGATCGGGGATTTGCTCCTGTTCAATTCTTATCCATGATGTGTTAATCATATAGTGCGTTTCAAAAGTCATGGCCTCACACTTTAACAAATATCTCGAAAACTCCCGTATGGATCTGCACGAATGTTTGCTGGAAGCCTTAGATTTCCTGTGTCTGTATGATTTTAAAATTCGCAATTGCTGCTGTTTTCTTAAAGCTGTGAATTTATTTGATCTTTGATTGACTAATAGCTGACACACGCCTGGAGATTGGAAATAATTTCACGCATGCAGCGATGCGTAGTGAGCATGTTGAAAACCTATCCAGCATACAATGACAGATCCACAACTCAGGGGAGACTAATGCTGGAACGATCACCTGAGAGTGAGATGCCTTTAAATTGCCTGCAGTGTGATGTTTTGGAAAGTTCAAGCTGCTCCAGCATGTTTCGCTAACTGTAAGCACGCTGACCGTTTGCACTGAATCCGTGTCCATTTCTTTTAATATACATTTCACAAAAAAAAAAAAAAAAAATCAAAACTAGATGTTTGTTTGCACACAATTCTTAGTTTTTCTAAAGACATGACTTTTAACAGGCTTCACGCCATATTTGAACAACTTAACCGAACGGTTACTGAGTTTACGATTTTTAAACTTGGGCATCTCGGGCTGCGTGGTCTCCAGGCATGGTGTCCGCCTCGGGTGCTAGAGATTTCGGTTTCAATCCCCGGTAAGGGTTGGGATATTTTACAGGGACAAGGACTTCTAGTATTTCCCCCTAGTCTCTTGGTAGTGAGATCGGACACCCGTGTGCAATGCTGCACACGTAAAAAAAATCCCTTATCAATTGGAAATCGAAAAGAGCAAACTAACGGCGCTGCCCGGGCAAAATTTTTGGGTTTAAAAATCTACCCAAAGTATTTCAGGATCCTCGCCGGTGCTACAGAGCCTGTGCACTGTGCTGAGTTTCTTCGGACTCAGACTTGGGTTAGAAAAAGAACGGAGCACTAATGGGTTACTACCCGTGTGCCATGGTGTTGATCTGTTGTTCAAAACCTCAAATTTGGGCATTTAAACCTCAAATTTGGGCATTCAAACCTCAAATTTGGGCATTCAAACCTCAAATTTGGGCATTCAAACCTCAAATTTGGGCATGATATCTGGACAGTAATATTGGACGAGCTCAACGACCAAACCATGTGGTTGGGGGGGGGGAGAGGGGAATACATATTCCAATCGCACATCGGTGTGAACATTGGAAATGAGCGAAAATACAAAAAGATAAAGGAATTCCTGAACAGTAAATGGTGCAACACTTGATTCCAGAATGACAGTAGATTATATGTGTTTACAACGGACGCAGCTAATGCGCACACTTCGACTCTTTTTTCTTGAACTATACTTTAAAGTGCTGCGCTGTTGCTTAGAGGTTAGTTAATGAATGCGGTTAACAATTTCGTGATCCTCAAGTAGTAGGGTGGGATTTCTATGGTGGACAGTGTATTTCAAAGGTGGTTTTCGGACAGTGGTAGAAGATCTCGCCGTTTAGATACTAGGACCTCATTATGTGATATTTCCCAAAAAGCAGTCTTTGCGATGGTAAAAAAAAAAAAAATCTGTTGCGAAAGTTGGACACACTTTTTTTAATTGTATAGAGCAGTGGTTTCCAATCTGGAAGGCGGGGTGGGGGGGGGGGGGGGGTGGGTGTGGGGGGTGGGGTGGGAGGGGGGGGGGGGTGGTTGGGGGGGGGTGTGGGGGGGGGGGGGGGGGGGGGGGGGGGGGGGGGGGGGGGGGGCGGGTGGGTGGGGGGGGGGGGGGGGTGGGTGGGGTGGGGGGGGGGGGGGGGGGGGAGGTTTCAAAGTGTGTATCACGCAGTTTTGAGATTGAGCGTGTGGCATCTGTACTTGTAATCATTTGTTATAGTTTTTAAAAATAGTAAAGATCCCTTCTCACGCCTTTAGGCGCATCGGGTATATGGGAAGAGCACCCATATTTTTACAAAACAATCATTACTAGGTGGGTAATGTGGTCAGCATTTCGCCGACCGTCTTTACTTCCCCAGGATATACATCCTGGTACCCAGTTATGGCAGGGTCGACCTGCGACGCTTCATACCATAATGAAAATCCACGCAGTTTTCGATCGCAGTACGTTGGGATTACGAGTCGGACTCGCAACGCCGAAGCCACGGACGCCACATCATCTGTTATACTTAATTTTTTTTTTTTGTGTAACTATAAATACACTATTTTTAAGAAAAAAAATATTTATTAAACAAAGGGAGTTTCAAGAAGAGGGGTGGGGGGAATCAAGCAGATTTGAGAATGGGCGCATCTGTACCTGTAATGATTGTTTATACCCACATTTTGGTCAAGTTTAATTATAAATACACTATTTAAAACACAAATTATTTATTATATCATATAAATAATATGATAATTCGCGCATTTAAATTTAGATTAAGAACACATTTTGACCAAAACTGTCTACATACTTTCTGTTTCACTTCTTGCGGAATCTGCTCACCTGCCTGTTGGGAAATTTAGGGGGGGGGGGCGAATTAGGGTCTTGCCATATATTCAGTGGGGGTGTGGGGGTCTTGCAATAGACTCAATGGGACGTGAAGCTCCTGCCATATAGTCATAGTTTCCAGACCACTGGTTTAGAGTTTAAATGTATGTCAAAAACAGTGTGAATAACACCAATACATTATTATCACATCATATCAGTGATTAGTGACAAATAAAAAAGCACCGTTTTCATTACCGACACAGTTTATTTGCTGTAGAGCCTCGTCAATATACAGGTATAAACTCTTGGAGACAAAGGAAAACTAGCACCGCTGACAACACAGCCAAAGTAGAAACGGAACACGTAACATTTTTTGCTGCTGCATCACAATGAAAAGGTATAGAGCGGCACGAACGACTTTAACCAGTTGGTTATCCTTTAAAATAGACATTTCGGACAAATAGCAGTTGATGATCGATATAATTTTCTAAGAACTGACAGACGCCTGCATTCCTGAAACTCGCACTTGCTTACAGAAACGTTTTGTATATTCGCGCACGAATTCAAACATATAATATGGGTACAGCGTCTAACGGCGCGATCTTCATTTGTCGCTATTTAAATTATTTCGACTTAGTTTACTAAACAACGTCTCAGACTTGAAAACAAAACCTGGCAGGCGGCCATTCTTGAAAAGGAAGAACATATCATAAAATAGAAAATACGGCGCCCACAAACTATGGGACGAGGTTAAACAAGGCAGAATTCGAGCTCCAAGGCAAGGGAGAAGTCAGGTCTGGTTGGAAAGTATCAGGAAACCGTCGAGGTCCGCACGGAACCTCCTGTGAGCGATAAACAACATATGTTGGTGTCGACATGCGCACACAACGTCTGGTGGCCCGGCTCTACCTCTTGTTGATGTTTCCAGCTGATATTATTGGATTATGGTGGTGAGTGTATGTACCACTTCATTTTTGTATTCGTATGTATATGTATTCATTCAAACATACACACGCGCGCGCTCGCGAACTCACACACAGGGTTTATCCTGGTGGTACGCAATACTGGCACCTTGATTTTTATTTTTTTATTTTCAAATGATTTTTTTCCAAGCGCTGCTATAATAGGCAATTTGTGGTCAGTAGCGTCACCTTATATTTGTACGTTAACAAATAGATGAAAATGGTTATGAATAAGAAAACTATAGTCTGTTTACCGGATCTCGTAGGGCAAATAACTTGTTAGTAATTGGCGTCCAGAAAAACTAGGTATAGAGTAAAATGCAAAATGCAGAATAGATATTTAAAAAAAAAAAAAAAAAATGCAAAAAAGTGCTATCGTTTTTTTTTATTGCTGTATTTTTAAAAAAATTTTATTTACATCTTTTTTTCTTTTATTTTCTTATGGCTTTCAGGCAGTGTATCTTCTTTTATATTTAATTTACATCAAGGTTTGGCAAATTTATGCCCCGCCGACTAATCTTTACGGCCCCGCAAGAATGGAGAAAAATCACTATATAAAATAAACCTCCCCCGCCCCCTTTCCTTCCACCATTTAAAAAAAAAAACCTTTTTTACTCACGATAATATGATTTCGGCAAAAAAACAGCTTGACCATTCACATTTAGGAGTAAATAGAAGTGCTTCATCGGATGAGTGTGTCTGGTCAGAGGTGTAACTATGAATTATAATATTAGAAAATCCCGTACAAAAATATCGTGTAACGAGAAAATGTGTTGTTTATAATGGATTGATTAATTATAAATTGGACCCACTGACAAAAACAAAATGTTTTCCCATGCCTCGTTTACAGTCTCTGTCACATTAATATCGCGCAGGCTGTTTTAGTAAAAATTAATAAATCCTTAACAAATATTTTTACTTTTTACTAATAATGTCAAGTTGATGAAATAGAATTGTACCAAAATTTTTTTTTTCGGTCGTCTTTATGTAAATTTTAATTCTCTAGCATACAGAACATAAGGAAAATTTATGATCTGTATTTTTTGTTGCTGCCATTATAATGACCATCCTTCATTAAAATTATCACTATAGTCCTCTCCTTCTTCGTCTCCTCCTCCTTCTACTTGTCTTCCTCATTCGTATTGTGTCTCCTCGGCCATAAAATCTTCCTTTATCATAACTGTAGTAGTATATGTGTTCTGAGATTGTTTTTGCATGTTGATATAACATAAGTAAATGTGGCACTGGAGATGTTTTCAGTATTTGTTTCATTTTAATTTATCTAATCTGTTTTCAGGTTGGCAATGTAAACCTTTATATGGATGTATTCATAATTTTAAAAACATACATATATGTAAATATACAAGTGTGTGTGTGTGTGAGTGTGTGTGTGTAAGACACATAATAATTGTATGCTAACCTGTACAATTGTAATAACTTATCAGTAAATAAAGGTAAATTAATAAAAACGGTATATATATATATATATATATATATATATAATATATATATATTATATATATACTATAATATATATATATATATACACACACACTTTTCATGTGCTCACAGTTAACAGTTTTACTCATATATATAAACAATTTTTAACGGTGAAAACTTTAAAAGTATTATGTTTATAGTGTTAAGAAATGAAAACTACCGATAGTATAAAAACAAATAGCCACTAAAATAGTAAATAATAAACCAAACAGTCACAGCGATAATTAAAAAAACACATAGCGGTAACAATTGAAAGCGTAATTAAGTTGTCGAAAACAAAAATCGACAGCGATTTTCTGTGTGTCTGACACTGGTTAATGTATGCAGCAATTTACAGGGACACGGTTTTAGTGCAGTCAGAATGGAAAAGACCAGACTTCTCCATCAAATCCTTATTTGGACACCAGTAGTTTAAAGAAATCGGAAAAGACTACGAGAGACTTTGCGTAGAACCATCATCGGGGAAGTACCAGCCATGGGCCTAACAAACATCCAAGAGCTAAAGCAGGTGGTAATAAACCGCCAAAAATGGAGAGCTACGACCTCTGTCCTAAGCTCAAGAGGAAGGACTAACTAATAGTTGTTTTAAAACACAAATAAAACGGACACATCAGGGGTTGATTTCGTTGTTTTATAGCCAGCAGATGACCTAACATGGGTTAAAATGAACATAGTTATGGTCCCAGCATTGCAATAATGAAAATACTTTCTTTTCTGCAGGAGTGGGGACAAAGGAAAGTGTTTTGCGAAATGCAATTTGATGATTTGGTTGTACCTAGGGGTACGTGTAAAAGTTTGGAACACCGCTGTTAACTGTAACAGGTTCAAATTGTGTTGCCTGTTTAAGACTGCACAAACATATCAAGGCGGTAGAAATAAAGATGATAAGAAAACTATTGGACACATTTAATTAAAATGCCATTAAAAAAAAAAAAAAAACTCTCAAACACTCATAAATTATAATGCAGCGATTTTCAACCTGTGGGTCGCGACCTCTTTTTATTAGGTCGAACGATCCTTTCACATCAGTCGCCAAAGAATATCAGAAAACACATATTCACTGAAGTCATGAAGTAGCAACGAAAATAAGTGTATGGTTTGGGGTCGCCACAACGTGAGGAACCGTATTAAAGGTCGCGGTATTAGGAAGGTTGTCAGCCCCTGTTATAATGAGATGATAGTTCGTAGATTAGTAAGAAATTATGTGCTGGTTGCGTTGATGTGGTTATATGGATGAGAATACCGTGGACGGAGTGTTGAGTGTTACGCTAACAACTAACATTACAGTGCTGAAGACATTTCCATATGAGCTCTCTCCTCATCTTCAGCAGCCAGCCAAGAATTCCAATGCCAGTTGCAGTTTGATAATTATTAACTTAACACTCAACACCCCGTCCAAGGTATTCTCATCTTTATAATCACATCAACGCAACCAGCACATCACTGCTAAGAATACGAGAACTTGGAGTAAAGATCGGCACAGCCAAGCATGAAAAGCGCACCGGACGCACAACATCGTTTTGCTCACCAACATAGGACTGGCACTATTACCCGCGCGACGCTGATGACAATGTTGAGAGGGAAATCTGAACGCCTACGGATGTGTCCGGAGTGCTGTGAAGATAACCTAACTCATAACTCATTACTCAGTTTGATAATTATATGTCCGTCTTGCCTCTTGTATGTGTGTAGAGTGTTGGCCAGATCGCCTGGTCACTCCTGACTAGACCGTTCTCTCTGGATCATGATGATCTATTCAAAACCGGATTAAGACCATTTGATAATCTAATCACCCAAAAGATTTTAGTGCTCTATTCAGAAACGGATTAAGACCATTTGATAATCTTAGCCCTTAAAAAGATTTTAGTGCTCTATTCAGGACCGGATTAGGAACGTTTGATAATCTAATCACCCAAAAGATTTTAGTGCTCTTTTCAGAAACGGATTAAGACCATTTAATAATCTTAGCCCTTAAAAAGATTTTAGTGCTCTATTCAGGACCGGATTAAGACCGTTTGATAATCTAATCACCCAAAAGATTTTAGTGCCATATTCAGGACCGGATTAAGACCATTTGATAATCTAATCACCAAAAGATTTTAGTGCCCTATTCAGAAACGGATTAAGACCATTTGATAATCTTAGCCCTATAAAAAGATTTTAGTGCTCTTTTCAGGACCGGATTAGGACCGTTTGATAATCTAATCACCCAAAAGATTTTAGTGCCCTATTCAGAAACTGATTAAGACCGTTTGATAATCTTAGCCCTATAAAAAGATTTTAGTGCTCTGTTCGGGGCCGGATAAAGACCATTCGATAATCTTAGCACTTAGATTTTGGTGCTCTATTCGTGGCCGGATTAAGACCATTTGATAATCTTAGCACTTAGATTTTAGTACTCTATTCAGGACTGGATTAAGACCGTTTGCTAATCTAAGCACTTGAAAGATTTTAATGCTCTATTCAGGACCGGATTAAGACCATTTGCTAATCTAAGCACTTACACAATTTTAGTGCTCTATTCAGGGCCGGATTAAGACCATTTGATAATCTAAGCACTTAAAAGATTGTAGTCATTTGCACAACAAACCATAAGTATATATATATATATATATATATATATATATATATATATATATATATATATATATATATATATATATATATATATATTAAACATTTATGCATCGTTGAAACGTCATATCATGCAGGGTATAAAAGAACTAAGTGTTTAATCAGCTCTGTCGGTCTGTAACTATTTTTCCCAGTTTTCAACAGCAAAGCACTAGTGATTGAAAACTACGCTCTTCAGGTTGTAGGAGATGTGTATTCAGTACAATGCCCACTAGGTACATCATCATGAAGTGCCTTGCCAACTGGCATGGGCTATCATCCTCCATACAATTTGCGATCAGTAACTTCGTGTATCATCACTTCGTGTGTTGACACCCCTCCATGCCATGACAAAATGCTGTCAAGAATCTTCTCGCACTGAGTCTCTACCCACAGATCTTTAATGTTGTCCCAACATGTTTCAGTTTCCTTCTTCTCATGTCATGACTAAAAATAAAAAAGATAACTGTCTCTTTCTGATGTTTGTGATAAGTTGTCTTCGAGCTCCCACCTCATTTTAGCTGTTCAAGGAATTCTATGGAATTCTCCTGTAAAACCCCGTCTCAAAGGCCTCAAGAAGTTGTTCGGTCTATTTATATTAATCGTCCAGGGCTCACAGTTGTTGGTTATTAATGGCGCATGTCTGTTTTCTAGAGGACAGTGTTATATGAGTCTCACACACAGCCCATGACGATGGCGATTGTGAATAGCATGACCTGCCCGAGTTAGGAAAAGACTTCCACAACTATAGCATGGGATTTCAGGACCATTGTTGTCAACATTTCTGTTTAGTCTGTTTCTTTTCCCTTTCTGATGGGCCCCCTCCACACAACTCCTGATTACTCCCTGCAGCACCATTCTCTTCAGACCATAAT